TCAGTGTTTCTCAACGGGGGCGATATCGCCCCCATGTGGGCGTTTTTCCATGTTGAGGGGGCGATTAGGAACAATTTATATTTTGGGGGCGAAAAACAATTTTCTGGGGGATATAGTAAAACATTATATTAAGAATAATTAGATATTTTATTCGTTATATCGTACAATAATTAAACAAATAACCTTATACTAGTCACTAGTCTATTCAATGCGGTACGAATTTGGCATTAGCCTTGGCCCTCGGCATCAGAATTTTGTAGTGAAGAGGGCGATACTACGTAACGGTTTTACTGAAGGGGGCGATACTACGTTGAAGGGGCGATGATTCCTTAGAGGTTGAGAAACACTGATTTATACCATAGACTTCTATGCATACTTTTTCCCCATGAGTTTTAATAGAATTTGTTGCCAATAAACATCCAAGAACAGCCAGTAGTATGTCGTCATCAGATGCCATGGCCGACTGACTGACTGACTGAGAGACAATGGTGTAGCGAACATAACTGGCGCCCGGGCACGACACTACATTGGCACCCCTCCTCCCCCAGAAACAAATCTTGTTTGTCTTGGAGACCATTTGGAGCCCCTCTGCAAGTGGCGCCCAGGGCCCGTGCCCTACTTGCCTCACCCTAGCTACACCTCTACTGAGAGATTTCTTCTTCATGTGTGGGCAATAGGAAATTCTGAAGTTCTTCAAGGTCAGGCAGCCTCAAAGGATTAACTTAACATGTATGGCCACCTTAATGGCCAAACAGAAAGTCTGTTGTTTGCAGTGTCTCTTATTCGAGGTGTATGTTATATGAGGCACCACTGTATATATATTTTTACTAAAAAAATATATATATAAAATGTGAGAAAATTTTAATTAAAAAAAAAAATATATATATATATTTTAGTTTAATTAAAACATTCTCACATTTTGAATCATCTACTGCTTCACAAACAATTATACAACTAGTTCAATTTTGTCCATTACAAACAAGTCTACTAAGCAAAATATTAGGCAGATAGTGATGAATAGATTTGATGTATCCAAGCCACCTGCAAAATATTCAATTTTTCAATAAAAAATGCAGCTGAGTCCAACAGAATGACACTCAGGTGTCTTTGTCATTAGAGGTAGCAAAAGACTAATGGTTTAAAATTGCTGCCAGATTGGCAGAATTTGTTTAAAAAATAAAATACTTATGAAATTTTTTCTTAATATTTTATCTCTGTGCTTCATTTTAAGTAATAAATCTTATATATTCTAAAATCATAAACTTTGTTATTTCACTCATTAAAATATTGAAACTACTGTATAAAGTTAAAAATGTCGGCCNTTAATGGCCAAACAGAAAGTCTGTTGTTTGCAGTGTCTCTTATTCGAGGTGTATGTTATATGAGGCACCACTGTATATATATTTTTACTAAAAAAATATATATATAAAATGTGAGAAAATTTTAATTAAAAAAAAAAATATATATATATATTTTAGTTTAATTAAAACATTCTCACATTTTGAATCATCTACTGCTTCACAAACAATTATACAACTAGTTCAATTTTGTCCATTACAAACAAGTCTACTAAGCAAAATATTAGGCAGATAGTGATGAATAGATTTGATGTATCCAAGCCACCTGCAAAATATTCAATTTTTCAATAAAAAATGCAGCTGAGTCCAACAGAATGACACTCAGGTGTCTTTGTCATTAGAGGTAGCAAAAGACTAATGGTTTAAAATTGCTGCCAGATTGGCAGAATTTGTTTAAAAAATAAAATACTTATGAAATTTTTTCTTAATATTTTATCTCTGTGCTTCATTTTAAGTAATAAATCTTATATATTCTAAAATCATAAACTTTGTTATTTCACTCATTAAAATATTGAAACTACTGTATAAAGTTAAAAATGTCGGCCATCTTTCAAAAACATTTTAATTAGAGATTAAAATAATTAGTTGTAATAAAATAATAGAAAACTATATTTTATTAGTAAAATTAGTTATGAAATAAAATGGCAATATTTCTTTCTCTTGTAAATTCTAACTTACCTATTATTACTATATACAATTCTACCACCATTAATTAAGTTCTTTTCTTTAACAAAATAAAATTAAAAACATACATATCAATGATATAATTTAATAATTAATCCAGAAATCACTTTAAAATTTTTCATTTTAATAAATTCACTTTAAAGTACTTATATATAATACAATACATTATGATAAATATTTATGAACAAAGCTTTTAAAGTTATTTTATATATATTATAATTTTAAATTCATGTATACATTAAGCACAGATTCCTAAATGTAGATAACTAACCTCATATATGTTGAAAGATTTATTGAATTTTATTTTTATTGATAAAAAAGTTAAGTGTTTACATTATTATTATTATTATGAAAGTTTTAACTGTGTTAAAATGTAAATGTTAGAGTTTAAAAATGATTATTTATTATGAACTAAATTTTATAAAAGCATTTCCAATAATGCTAGGAATCTGTGCTCTTATAAAACATGGACTCCAATTGAAAAAAAAATAAAAAAGAAACTATAAACTCTAAGTTAATAAGAATTTTTGGAGGAACTTGATTTAAGAAATTTCAAGATTTCTCATAAACAAAATTATAAAGTTTCACAAAGAAATTACTTGTTTAATGGTTATGTTCAAACATTGAACATGCTTCTCTTCTGTTGACTGTCGGCCAATATTGTCAACAGATTATATTAATCCATTGTCTCAGATACAACACTTAAAAACTATTTTCAACTAACAGAATAATTTTGACAGCATTTTCTAACTAAATCACAGATATTAATTTACAATGCCAAAATTAAAAATACCACTAACTGTTCGTCTGTTGGTTTTCTTGTCTTCTTATAGGATTATGAAGATTTGATTGACTCCATAAAACCATTAAAAAAAGTCCAGTTATGCCTACCAGAGCAACTGTAGACACAATATTGAAGAATTCCCTATATTGAAAATGTAGCATCCAAATTATACCGAGGATAATACCAAACAGTGGCCACATTAAGTGGCTTAAATCTAGATCACTGTCACTATCAGAATAACTGGAACCTTGTGCTTGCTGATTTTGTGAAATTTGGACATGCATTACTGAACTATTAGTAACACCATAAGATTCTAAAGTCCTGTCATCCATTCGCAATAGCTGGCCATTGTATATAAGTCGAACTATTTTGTTATTTGCTATATCTTCTGCAAAATGGCATCTATAAAACAAATTTCGTTTTTGTACATTACTATATTAAAAAATAAAATTTACCAAAATTCAAAAATATCGATTAACAGACAGATACCTTTTAAAATCTCCAATTTTATCATCTAGTTTACACTGAACTACTCGTTCAGTATCATTTAAATATTTCAATCTTAATCTAACCATTTCATTATCAAGAATGTCATTGCTTTCATTCTGAATATGAACATCTGTTTCTTGTTCTTGTGAAGATGCTACTCGTCCGCTTTCATTGTTAATGTTATCTAATTCAGTCATCAATTCATTATCACTTAAAGAAGACTGTTGATTAAAAAATTCTAATCTCCTCTTGCGAAGAAAATTAGGATCTTCAGACAACTCCGAAGAAATTCTAGCATCAGAAGTAGTTGCAACTGTATTTTGATGACAATTTGCATCAGAATTTTCTATGGTTCTTTCTGCATTGTCTACTAATGCAGAGTTAGTGGTTGTATTACTTGGAATATTACTGTCATCACAAAATATTTCAGAACTGATTTGTTCTGAATTTGAGGAATTACTTGCAGTTGTATTATTAAGATGAACAGCATCAACTCTATGATTTGACGATATCTAGATAAAATATTTATAAACAAATTATATTAATACTTATACAACTCAAAATTTATATCACTCAAAATAATTATATTTAAATATAAATACAGTAGAGTGTCGATTTTCCGAATCAATTGCGGACTGGGGTTGTCCAGATAACTGATATTTCGGATAACTGATTTACGTACGAAAAAATAGTTTAACGTATCCGATGTTGAAATTTTTATCCGTTGCGTGTCGCTTTGCGTTGAATTTTCGTCGATGTTGTATCGTTACAAATTATTTTTTACAAATTGAAGACTATTGTATCGTTAAAAATTATTTTTTTATTTTGTACGAACAAAATAAATATATTGAAAATTATAAAAATAATAAAAAATTATACTTCAGATGTTAATTTTGTATTAAAAACGTAAAATATTTGAGTAGCCAAAGACATAGCCAAAGATTGAAGCGCCACAGCACTGGAGAAAATTTAAATTTGCCTACTGGAATTCTTTCGGATGATTGACGTTTCGGATGATTGACTTTCGGAAAATCGACGCTCTACTGTATTCATAAAATTAAAAAGTTAATTTTTACATTCTTTTTATAATTAAACTATAGAAGTCAAAACTTTAAGAGAAATATATTTCTAAATGTTTTAATTTTCACAATATTAAAATAAAATTAATTACATTTAAAAAATACAGTTATATTATTTATTTGTTCAATTTATACTTTGAAATTAAGTGATAAATGATTTTGACCAAAAAAAGTACAGTGTTACCACACACTTTAAATGATTCTAACTTTGAATGCCAAATTCAACAAAAATTCACTTTGGAGTTCAAACAATGCTTCAAAGTTCAAATTGCATGTGCAATGAAAAACACAAAAGTGGAAGCATAAAATAAATTTCTGAATAAAGAATACAATTTCAAATTAGCAATAATGTATTAAATTTTACAACTGTCATAATTAAATCACACATTACCTTAAATAAGATAGCTGTTAAAAATATGCAAGAATTTTCTGTTGAACCCAATATCATCTTTACTTATTAATCATGGCATCCAAAAAGTGTTTTGAAGCAATGAAGTCTAACAAGTAATACGAAGGCTGTAATATCAACAATTCAGATGAAAAAGAAACTTCTTGCAAAGCATGAAAGCAGTAGACATGTGGTGGATCTGGCAGCCATGTTTTAAGAAGTTGAAGTCAATGGTATGTGACCAGTAAATACAATTTTCATATTATATAGTATTTTTGCATTCTATTTATTGTTTGTGTTTTAATTTATTATTAGGCCACTTAATTCTGTTATTTTTACCTTAAATTATGTGTATTTACTGTTTTAAGTACAGTAATATCTTGTTTTTCATCAATAATCCATCCGAAAACAATTGACAAAATCTGAAACTGATAAAAACTTAGCCAAATTTTTCCATATGAATCAATGTAAATCCAATTAATTTGTTCTAGACACTCCAAAATACATACAAAAAACACATTTTATAGAGAATAAATACAGTGTTTAATACTAAAAACAATATGAAACTAATATAAAATGAGTATAAAAGACTAATGTAAAGACTAAATGAGCATTTAACATGGCATTTACATTTCTGAAGACTCTTCTTGGCTTATGGAAGATGGCAAGGAAGATGGCAAGGAAGGGGGAGAGAGGTGCAGATTATTGTTTGGAAGGAAAATCCTCCTCCACAAGGACCTTAGGTATCAAGACCTTTGAAACATTGCTTTTCTGTACAGTTTCTTGAAATTTGAAATGACATTTTGGTTCATGGGCTTGATGAGTGGTGTGATATTAGGGGGCAAGAACTGTGATAAAACTGAACGCCTCCAACAATATATTTTCTAAATCTGTAGGATGTGCAGAAGCATTGTCCATTACCAGGAGGCACTTAAGGGGCAACTGATTATGCTGGAAATATTTTTTCACACAGGCCAAACACTTCATTCATCCACTCAATGAAAATTGGCCTCGTGACCCATGCTTTTTTGTTTGCCCTCCACATTACTCACAATTTACTTTTAATCACATTGTTTCTGCTAAACACTCCAGGACAGGGATAGTCAACCTTTTTATACCTACCACCCACTTTTGTATCTTTGTCGGTAATAAAATTTTCTAACTGCCCACTGGTTCCACACTAAGTTAATTTAGCACAACTGCAAAGTACTCATAATTTTTGAGTGGCAATTTAGTAAAGACCAGGTTGACTACCACTGCTCTAGGAGTTTCTGAATGGTACATTGGTAAAGGCTTCACTTTACAATCACCACTAGCATTACCACACAACAAAAGAGTTAACCTATCTTTCATAGGCTTATGTCCTGGAAATGCTCTTTGGCATTTTCTTCCAACAGAAGACAGTTTTATCACAGTCGAAGACTTGTTGGGGAATGAATCCCTCAATCTTTATGTAATCTTTGAATTCAGACACAAATTTTTCAGCCCCAGACTTGTCCAAACTTGAACTTTTGTTGTACTTAGTAACACTGTGTATGCCAATGCTCCTATTGAATTTTTCGAACCAGCCTCTGCTGGCCTTAAAATCACTAAGTACACTAGCATTCGTCCCGGGCATTTTCTTAATGAGATTGACATATAACAGTCTGGCCTTTTCACATATGATGGTTTCCAAAACAGAAATTGCCATCTAACTGTTTTTGATTGATCCAAATTAATAATAACTGTTCGACATCTCCAATTGTTTGTGATCTCTGTTTCATTAGCACATTCACATCTTTCGCTACATTAGCCTCCTTTTTCGCTACAATGGAACTTATTGCGGATGGCAACTTCCTATAAATGTGGATGATTTCAGCGATCTTAATTAATACCACTCTCGTATTTTTCAATGATTTCCTTCATCAACTTGATCATGTTTTTGGCCTTTTTCTTCAAAGGGCTGTTGGCTCTGGAAACTTTCTTTGGTCCCATGATAGAGCTAAAAGGAAAGGAAAGCAATGGAATTGTTTGGCTAAATTCACAGAGTAATGCTCACACAACAAGAAACACCACCACAGTGAGCAGGAAAACTCATGGATCACCCTTTGTTTTTGCAAAATTAGCAGCGAGGTCATGTGGGCATACCAACAAAATCCAAGGCAACTGACAAAAACTGAGACAAATTTTTTGCAGAAAAAAATCGACAAAGAATCAAAACTGACGATAACCAAAGTCAACTAAAACCAAGGTATTACTGTATATTGAAATGGGTATTGTTTAGTGGTGAGGATTAGATTAATTCACTTTTCATTATTTCTAATGAAAAAAATTGCTTTAGTCTTCAAATGATTCAGAATTCAAACAGCTTCCTGGAATGAATTAAATCCGGAGTATGAGGCACCACTGTACTCCATTATGATATTGTAAATATTGTAAGATTGATATAAGAGCAAGAAAAATGTTTTTTCTCTATTTTGTATATATTTCTTTAATACAGGGGTATCCAACCTTTTTGTTCCTCTGGGCCACATTGGAAGAAGTCATGGAGTTTTGGGCCACAAGTATATATAACATATTTGTGACCCAATCCTTAAATATACTTGTATATTTAAGAATTAACATGTCTAGATTATAGTAATAAGTTAAAACTTTATCACAAAAAATTACTCCTACAGACTTCCAATTTTTACTTAGAAATAAATAAATTCATCTATTATAAAGGAGACAAACAAAAATTTACTTGAAAAACACAAATATTTGTTTTATTTGGGTCTCTAATTAATAAAAAAACGACAAAACACCATTTTAAAGTGCATTTTTATTCGACTAATATATTTATAAATAATATGTAGCTCAGAAAGTAGCCAATACGCAAAATGATAATTTTTACGCCAAACTAAAAAAAGGGTAGCCAAATTTGGCGCAAAGTAGCCAAATCTTGCAACGCTGGAAAGAATACTAAATAATGCTGGAGTTGGAACTCAAAGGATTATAGACCCAAATTTGAGAAAAGGAGAGAAAGAACAAGAGATAAAAAGTAGTGAGAAAGGTTGGAAAATTAAGGGTCAATATTTGCATAACAGAAGGTCTATTTAACCTTTCTCACTACTTTTTATCTTTTGGCCTTTCTCTCNAATGTGTGATGATCTAACGTGATCTCGTTCTTTTCCAGGCAAAAACAGTGTTCTATAGGATTGAAGTTTCTGTCATGTAATTTAACTACAGTAGAGCGTCCTTTATCCGAAAGTCGGTTATCCGAATCATCGGTTATCCTAAAGCATTCCAGTCGGCAAATTTAAATTTTCGCTAGTGCTGTGGCGCTTCAATCTTTGGGCTACTCTAATATTTTTGTTTTGTTGGTGTGTGTTTTTTAGCTGGCAGCACTGGCATTTTTGTGCGGTGTTTTTCTGAGGATTGTGTGTTGTGCTGAATCGAACGTTTTGATACTAGATCTTCTTCTAAAGTATATATTTTGTTGTTTTTATATTTTTCAATATATTTATTTTGTTTGTAAAAAATAAAGAAATAGTTTTTAACGATACAACAGCCACGATTATTATTTTAAAAAGTTTACGTTAGGCTTAAGATCGACAAAAATTCAACGCGAAGCGACACGCAACGGAGAAAAATTTCAACACGGGATAGGTTAATATATTTTTTCGTACATAATCAGTTATCCGAAAAATAAGTTATCCGAACAACCCCAGTCCCCAACTGATTCGGATAAACAACGCTCTATTGTATTTCCTTTTCACTCAAAAATAAAATATGTATAAAAGTTTACTGCTTTGTGAAACTTCTTTTTTGAGTTTATGCCATTGAAATAAATAAATAATAAAACAATTTGTTGGTTTTGTTTACATGTTTATTGGGCTGCATTGGAACTTGCCTTGGGCCACATGTGGCCTGCAGGTTGGACACTCCTGCTTTAATATAAACCTGAAAGATAGGAAGTTTAAAGGTTCTTTATCCTATAAACAAAAGAACAAAGTCAAATTAAAATTTATATTTATATCTGAGATACAGTATGATTATTTAAAGAAAAATAAATAAAATTTGATTAGGTTCCAATAATAAACATAGATTTTTGAAAAGTTTCATAACTAAGAAAAATTGTGAATAAGTTGGATTGTTTTGGGTTTGTTATAAAGAATAATAGGTTATATGGTCATTTCAACATTTATTTCAAATTGAAGCTAATTGTATAACCTATTAAAGAGCCATGACCCATATGGAATTTCCAGCATGGATTAAAGACTGGGAAAAACCATGACTATTCTTACAATATACGTATGTGCAAATGTTAAATTATATTCGAACTTGAATCCCCAAGATAGTAAAAGTTTTCGTTTTATAAATTTCTTTATAAAGTAAGAATATTTGTATTGTACCAGCAAGGAACATTACCTAAACTAAATTATAATAAATTCCCCAAGGCTAGCAAAAAAATTATTTGACATGTACAACAAGAATACATCTTATAAAAACCATTTTCAACACAAGATAATTGATATCAAAAGGATATAACAATATTAGAAGGCTACACAAGAAAAGAGCTAAATGAAGAAAATATCCTTGAAGAAATTCATTTACAAACTGTTAAGAAATGACAAAGATAAAATGAATGTTGGGAGATTATCAGGAGTGTATTATATTCCATAGGTAATGATTAGTGATGTAACGAATATTCGGTTACTATTCGGTATTCAGCCTATTTTTCGCTATTCGACCGAATACTGAATATTTAATCACTATTCGGCCGAATACCGAATACCTAAAAACAGGAGTAAGAAATAACAAAAACACAGTAAATTAATCATTTTGGTATTAGACTTAATGTTGTCGGGTTAGTGTTGTTTGTTTATATTTATTTATAACTTGTAACATGCACAAAATAAAAAAAAATAATATTAGTCACTTGTATTCACAATTTATAATTACAAAGATCAGCACCACACACCTATTCGTTCGAGAATCGTCGTACACACCTGAGGGTCTGACCCTGCCTATCCTTTCTAAGCGCTCGTCTTTGCTCTTTCCTTTCTTTTTACTCCATCTCTCTAGTCCACGTATGCCTATACATACATCATAATACGCACTCACAATACTTTCGATTCGTCACTTTTCCGTCGTAGTTTTTCCATTTTATAATTACATGACTCATAGCCTGGTGATAACAGAGAAAAGAGACAGATAAAATGTCGGTATATGTCACAGTTATGATTTCACAGATTCAAGACAGCTTGTAGCTTGAACAACCCCAGGCTTTCGCCCGTGCACGCTAAGTGACTTTCATTACAAGCATTTAACTTTCCGAAGTCTATGACAACAATTGTTTGGCATTAACGGCCGCAAATTTCGCGCCAATAAGCTGCTTCGACTTGTTCGATTATGTTATCAACTCAATTTCATGTTTCACATTTTCACTTCGCGGTCTTTCTCTGTTCTTTTTCCGTTATTTACACGTATAGGTCATTTCATTGTTATTCACATTTGATATCATTTATCGCATACTGCCATGATGCTCTTGTCTGTCTGCTACAACTGTCAAGAATTAACGCGATTGGCAAAGCGTAGTGACAGTGGGCCAATAGAGAGCAGGGTCCTTGCCATAATGAGGTTTGCGTGCCAATTTTCATACGTGCATTAATCAAGCCGAATAGTTTGGCAGAATATTCGGCTATTCGGCCACACTCCTGGCCAAATATTTGGTATTCGGCCTCAGGCCGAATATACTATTCATTGCAACACTAGTAATGATCAATTAAATGTTAATATTGAATATGTAAGACCTACTGCTAGATTATTTGACGCAATATTTAAGAAACTCTCACACTAGACATTAGGAGAGGCCCGACAAGAAAGGCATTGTACCGACAGGAGTTGCACTGCATTGTGCCAAAATGCCACTTGGCAATATTTTTATTAAAGTGGGAATAAAAATATAATAATGGCAATTAAAACCTTAGTCCACTTATTTCAAAATTCAGTGTGAAATTAAATCACAAATCACACTTCAGGAAAAACAGCAGAATGTCGTGCTTCTGTGCAACGAGAATCCTGTGCACCACACACCTAGCAATTTCATGATATCATGCAGCAAGCTTGGGCAGAAAAGTAGGAACTGACTTTGAGAACCAAAGACAGTTTAGTGCAATGCTGCCCAGCATTTCTACATTGGGAATTTCTTATCTATTGACAGAAAATTTGGAGAATTTTTTGAGTGACTTTTTCTCACTTTGATCTTTTTTCAGTAGACTAAAACAAGAATTTTGACATGACAGAACCTGTGAAATATTGTTTAAACATTACAAACAAGTGTGTTATTAGAAATTATTTATTAAAAAATTATTCAAAAAGATTCTGGTATTGCTAACTTGTAAGTAACAGCTGAACATGTTACTTTTGCTTTCCACACACCAATCTGATAAGGCTACCAGTACCTGCATTAATTAGTAAGTAAAATTAATAGCAATAAATAATTTGAAGTGGTGAAAAAAAATTTTAAACTGGCAAAATGGTTGACGATATTTTTAAATGTTTAGATACAAATACTGTAATCATCAGTATATCTCACCAATAGTTAAGATACAGTATACTGTAGTCATCAGACATATCTCACTAAAGGTGAATCGAAAATCACTTGAGAGCATTTGTTACATGAGTAATTGTGAGCAATTATGTATTTACTTTGTAATAATCTGAATTATATTTGTCTTTATTTTCTAAAATTATTGTATTATTTTTAGATGTAATAGTGAAGAGGAATCACTAAGACAGTGTGATTCAAAATGCATTTATATTAGAGAGAGAATAATAAAAAATGTGTCAAATGCTACTGTGGTTACTTGATTTGCTGCTATTCTAGATAATTGAAATTCAGAATAGATCTGTACCAAAATCACTTGGTTTACAAATGAAGAAGAGACAGACTAATGTTTTCAAATGTGTTCAATATCCATCTTCAGGTCTTTACAGTTTAGATTCTAGAATCTGAGCTTCTTAACTAACATTTGAATTCCAATTTTTGAATTAAAAAAAAGAACATTACAAAAATTTGAGGTTACACTAAGAAGAAGATAAACCATCTGGTGTTCCTTTTGTATTACCTTAAATTACCAAAATAATTTAAATATTTAAAAAATTTCTAAATATTTCAGTAACTAGTGCATTCCATCCCATCAGCATCAGCAGTTGTTTTGATATCAATAATTTTAAGGAGTTTAGAAATCCTAGAGATATACAAGTCAAACAAGGATGTCAAATTGCATCAATAACTCGATGCAAATATCAAATGCTTGGAATTGGACTGAGGTATGCATTTTGTTTCATTTTAACTGTATTGCTTTTACTTCTTGGATTACTTTCAGATAGCATGAAATAATTTATTTTATTTTCAAACTGTGTTAATATATTAACACAATTTAGAAGTTAGTGTCTCATAATCAATAGTGTGGCAAATTCTCTGCAAGAGGTTGAACTGACATACACATGATAGGAAATGAATTATCAACTAGATGTCTGCCACTTCAGCAAAAGTGGGCACATTCAACATTTGTGACTTGTAAAAAAATTTGGAGAGTACACCTATATTTGAATGTTAGAAAATATAGTATTTGTTGTGTAGTTTACAAATAATAAATTTTTTTTAATGCTTCATAGACTTATGAATAATCCTGTACTTGCTATAATTTGTAATTTAAAGTTTTTAAAATATTCTGTATTTTGTTCTGGATATTGAACCTTAGAAAGGCTGTTAAAGACAATTGAGAATATTAGGCATAAACAAATTTTGCAGGATATTTAAATATTTTTAGAGCTAAAACATTATTTTTCTTGCTCATTACATTTTAGTTTATTACATATATATGTTTATCAATAAATTATTTTTTTATAATTTTTTTAATATTTAAAATACTTTATCAGTTTTTAAATATTAAAAAAAGTATTACATTTGTTTTGGAAAAAAAAAGGTAAATACATAATTAGATAAGCCAATGTTTATATAGATATTTTACAGTCAGGATATGTACAATACCATTTAAAACAAATTTTTTACATATAACTTTTTTTAATTCATTGAAAATATATATAACTCCTGTAACATCTATCTGATTGAACAGAAAGTTCTTGCATTTTTTGGAACTTTCTAGAATAACTTTTTTCTGGAACATTCTAGAATGTTCCATGGTAGTATGCAAACAGGTCGGGGTACGTGCTATAAGAAAATACCAAATCCAGTCCTCTCACTCTACCATGACCAAGCAAGTTTGCCTGCTCCTCATTTATGACTATTGTTCCAAAAAAAAAGCAGCCAATTCTATCAGTGACATCAATGCTGCGTTAGGCCCAGACACTGTCGCCAGAAGAACTGCATACGATTGGTATGAATGCTTCAAAAGTGGAGATACCTAACCCAAGAAGATCATGCTCTCTGTCTTCTGGGATTCTAAAGGAATTATCATGTTCAAATTGCTGCCGCAAAATATAACCATCAATGCAACTTTCTACTGCGAACAACTCAACGTCTGCAGCAGAAACTGGTGGAAACCCGCCCAGAACACCATAACACTATCCTGATGCGTGACAATGCACATCCACATATGGCTAGACAGACCCACCAGAAGCTACTGGACCTGAACAGGGAGGTCTTGCCCCACCCACTGTATAGCCCTGACATTGCACCTTTGGATAATCACCTGTTTGCTGCGCTCGACTGTCACCTGGCTGGCAAGGAGTTCAACAATGAACCAACTTGGAGGCCAGCCTGACCAACTTCTTCGAGTCGCAGCTGCCAGAGTTTTATCGAGATGGCATCCATTCCTTGCATAAGTGTTGGCAGGAAGTGGTCAACAACAACAATGATTACATTGATGATTGAAGTCAATTATGCACATAAAATTTTCTTGGCTAAATGAAATGCATCCAAAAGTATGAGAACTTTCTGTTCAATCAGATAATTTTCAATTTATGAAATTACATACAAACCTACCTCATTAGCTGCTGAAAAGCTACTGGAGTTTGACACAAATTGTGTTTGTGGAAATGGAAATATCCACAATACTGCTAATATTCCCACAATTAATGCTATAGCTAAGAAAAGTACAACTTCATCTCCTATTCCTTCTATAAGAGTCATTTTGTTAACCTAAAAATAAATATCAAAAATTATCATTTTAAATTTATAAAAATCTAAATATAAATATTATGAATTGAAAATTTTTTCCAAATTAATATAAATTTTAATTATAGTAAATAATACAGCAGAAATGTATTAGTATTTATAGATCATATTTAAATTACCTGCTTAGTTTAGTTTTTGATTCAAAATTAATAAATAAATTTTAATAATTAATTTTATCTTACTGCAATGTTTTGTCATAAGTATACTTTTTTGTACAATTAAAAATAATAATAATACAGTAATAGATCATATAAAACATACAACTTTTATGATAACTTTAAAATAAATAATTGAGAATTTTAAATAATTTTGTTAACTATAATATATGTTTTTACAAAATTAATAATATTCTAAAGGACAAATTATTATTATTTATAAATTCTATACACAGTAACATCACCTATAATATACACCAAAAAGCATTCAACAAATGTGCAAAGTAGCATATTTAAGCTATGATTGAAGATTGTAATGATAACATAGGTAGTACAAAGAAGAAACTAAAAATAATAAACCAAAATAATGCAATTTATTATACATAATGTTACACTGAACTTCAGTAAGTGTTATTTCTTATCACAGCCTCACCAATACTGTAAATAAGCATTGTTGCATGTCATTCAGTTATAAAATTTAAAAAAATGGTTTACAGGATAAGTAAGTCTGACAAACTGTTATTTCTCATTGAATGGGATCCTAATACCTTGTAGGACCACCAAGGTCATTGAAAGTTTAAATGAGGCTAAGGGGAATAGGCCACTTAAAAAAAAATTTTTTTCAACAAATTAAATTTACAGAAAGTTTATTAATAAAAAATAATGTTAAAAGATTTTATTTTCTGTTCATAAAAATAACACTAATTTTATATGAATAGGAATCATTACTGACTCCCTAGGGCCCAGGAAAAAATCCCAGCTCTCATTCTCAACAGCCCTGAGGACCCCACTACAAGCTTTAATAATGACTGCAGTAGCTTTCGCTTAAAGTGCATGAGTTTCTTCAAATATTCTATATCAAGCTCATGAAGTCTTCTAATACACTTCTGTGGTTGCTGTTTATTTTCAGATTTCTTCTCTGCAATTTTCATGTCCATATGATGCCTCTAGTTTTCAACAGAGTTTAAATCAGAACTGCTATCTGGCAGCTTAGGCATCTATTTTTTTCTTTTTTACCTGAACATGTAAACAGCAATTTGTGTGTCAGTTTAAATGACAATAATTCTAACAAACCACAAACAGGAAAAGAACCCATTATGGTAATTAGCTTGATATCTTGAAAATTTGCATTAAAAAATTACAAGTACAGTCTTTTAATTATAGTAAACTTAGTTATAAAAATTTACCTAGTTGTTAATTTTTCATTTCCTTTTCATAAATTCTGCTTATCACAATCACTTTGTAACTTGCATAAACTGATAACTAAATTTGGGAAGTTTTTTCTTATGAAAGGACTAAAAGGTAGTGGATTTTTATAAATAAAAGTGCTCCTAAAAATGTATAAAAGTAAAACCATCATTTTATTGTGCATAAAAGTATACATAGAATACACAAAACTTGAGAAAATGATGAGATAATTTGAATCAGTCACTTTCAGAATCTGATCCATCAGTTTCATAGTTTACATCTCTCAAACAATCTCTTAAAATCAACAGATGAGAGAGGAGCATATGTGGTTTTCACTAAAATTTCCAGGTTTCGTGACTGAAGAAACGTGGGAATTATATTTTGAATATCCAGATTTCTGCTCTGGGAGTATCCAACTGGCTTTTGGCATGTTTAAAAATTTTGTACTTTCTTCTAGTTTAGAAACTGAACTGCACAGGAACTTGTGAATGAACAGTGTAAAGTTCCTTTAACATAGCTTCTTGATTCAACAGACTCTTTGGTTTCATTGCAGCCACTTTTTTTTTCATTACACACAGACTTTTTGTCCAGTTTATTAATGAATGCTACCATGGATGTGAAATTTTTAGCATAAAAACATGCTACTTGAATTCATATGCCCCACTTGGTTATTATAGGTGCTTTTGGAGTGGCAAGCAAGTTATCTCTTTATGTAGATGTACAGTCACAGGCCATTTAATGAAAGCCTTTTTCATTTCCAAAATGAAACTGTTGACACAAGAAAATTCTGCTCTAATTGCTTCACATATCCTGTTAAAGCAATAGGAAAGACTGGTGATGTCTCAGATTTGAATCAACTTTATATTTGAGCACACACTTAATAGGTCTGGTCTGTTAACAAGTAACCAAACTTTTTCATACCAATATGGAATGACAAAGTTCCACAGTTTGACATATGAATCATTGAAGACTTGCATGACTGTTGTGGAATTTGACTTTTCTAATCTGTAAACTTCTCCTGTTAACAGACCAATGAGAATGTACAGTACAACATATACCTTTTTAGAATATCAATTGTTTCATCCAAACAAAAACTACTCACACAGTCAACCAAAATCCAGCAATTAAACAGTTGTACAAACATTTTCATCTACCTTCATGTAGACATTTTTAGGTGAAATAAGCCAAACAATATGCCCAAGAATTTGGCATATTGTTTGGCATCAGACATATGTTTATCAGACATATCTGATTTTTTTTTTTTTTTTTCGTTTTCTGTAAATTGAATTCACATTCCAGGTTGGTTCATTCTGCGGTAGATGAAATGATGATGATGATGATTCACGCTTCTTAACAATGTATATTGTATATTTTTCTATGAATAAATGTTATACATAAAATATTTGAGTATTTTTTTTCGGCATGGAATGTATTATCATATTTTACATTGATTTATATGGGAAAAACTGTTTCGCATTACGAGTAAGATTCTGGAACAAATTATGCTTGTTAAGCGAAGTTCCACTGCATATAATTCATCCAATATTAATAGTATACTGTAAACAAATAATGATTAAAATGATTAACACTTAAGACACTGGTTCAAACTGATACCAATTGCATGTTATCCACCAAATGTTGAGTCTCATAACACAAAAAAAAAAAAATCTTAAAAAATCCTACTTATCCAAAGATGACAATAATCATCAAATTCTTATTATAATAAATAATGTTTTTAAAATGTATTGTAACTTATGTTTTGATACCTCTAATTTTGATAATAAATGACTAACAGCATTTTCTATGACTACAACAAGCAAAGTCTACATTATTATTATTACTGTATTGTTATTGTTAAACTGAACCATCAAATAATTTCAGTCTAAACTCCATTTCAGAAATCAAAAACAATTAGAAACAATTGTGAATTATTTTTTAAATTTCTTCTTTGAACAAGAAGACTTATTGATACAACTGAAATATTTCTGCCAGACAGAAAAGAGAGACTTCTCTCTTTTAATTAGAGCCAGACTTGTATTCATTCAAAACCATTATATATGCACTTAAAAAAATGTCAGATATATGCACTGCTATATGCATGTTAAAATGCCTAAAATATGCATTATGAATGTGAAAAGTAACAGTAATATACAATAAAATTTATAGGTTGAAATGAATACATACTATAATTCTGTCTGAAAGCAAATCTTATTAATGTCTAAGCCAGTGTTTTTCAACTTTTTTCATTGAGTGGCACACCTAATTGAAAAATAACAAATCGTGACACCCTTGACCAGCAGCAGATCTAGAATCTGAATAAGGGGGGACTAATGGGCCAGATGAATTTTTTGCAAAAACGAATATTACGCGCAATGCAAAAGTGTTTCTACGTGTTCAAAATCAAAATTTAAATCCATTGAATTTTGTCGATATACCTACATGTAAAATAATAGTCTCGCTATTGTTTTTTAAATATAGTTTTATTATCAAATATATCATCATTTTATATTATCATTTTATTGATAAACAATTTTTGTTA